ACCACAGCTTTGGGCCAGCCTCAGGGTACTGGCGTGGGCCATTACCACCTAGGGAGTCAGGCTCTGAGGAGGGATGAATGGGTGGGAACCCACCTGTTTGGGAACCATGACAGTTTCTGGAAGGAGGTTGCCCTGGGGACACCTCTCCCTCTACAGCTAGGTTCCTGGGATGGGAATCTAACAGTTGACAAGCACAGCCCTTGAGGCAGGTCCAGAAAGAGCCCAGGAGGATACAATGCAGTATGGCAGGGTTTCAAATGGAGGTGTGAGTGGGTCTGGAAAGGGCCACCAGGAGTCACCTGCCAAGCTCAGGGGCCACTTGGGTGCCCTATGATGTGTTTTCCAACTTTCTATACCCACAAGTTCACTTCTACCAGGACACAAGTCACAGAGGAAACTCCTCTGCTTCATCAGAACCTTAGCAGTGGCCCAAGGTAGCCCCATTTGTTCTCAGCAAACCCCTTACCTCAGGGTCACCTTGTCATCCCACAGAAAATCCTCTGCCAGCATTAATACACCAGCAGGATGAGATGATAACTAAACAAAAATGGGACACAGCCTCAACGTCATCCTCATTCCATTACCATTGTCACCATCAGTATTGTAATCACTGTTGCCACCATCAGCATCCCACTCATCATCAATATCACCAACATCACCTCATCCCATCACCCTGACCACCATCATCAGCATCCCAATCACTCATCATCAATATCACCAACATCACCTCATCCCATCACCCTGACCACCATCATCAACATTACAATCACTCATCATCAATATCACCAACATCACCCTCATCCCATCACCCTGGCCACCATCATCAACATCACAGTCACTAACGTCATTAAAATTGGCATCACCCTCACCTTCACCATCACCACCTTCACCATCACCATCACCACCCTCACCAATGTCATCTCCATTACTATCACCATAACCTTCATCTAAATCAATATCACCACATCCAATATCAGTATCACCTTCATCATCAATATTACCCTTGGCTAAGGGTGTAATTCAGTATTTGTCATGTGGCTTGCCCAAGACTCTGGGACTGACTCTCAGCATTGCCAAAAAAAAAAAAAAAAAGATAAAAAAAAAAAAAACCAACACCTCATTCATCATCACCTGCTAGTCATGCCACCATTACCACAGCAACAGCAGCTAATGCTTGTGTGTTACACTCCACATGCCAGGTCATGCTTTCATGCTTTAAATACATTAATGCACTTAACCCTCGCCTTCTACAAAGCAGCTGCTAGAACGATGCTCACTGTAAACACAGAGGTTGAATGACTGGCCCCGATACACAGGTGTGAGTCCCCACAATCTGGTTCAACATCTATTCTTTAATGGCTCTGCTCAGCTGAAGAAGGACCATTCAGAACATGATAGGCAGCAGTGACCACAGCGGACGCACAGCAATGGGCCCATCACACCTGGGCTCTCACCCTGATCCTGGCAAGGTCCTTCTCTCTCAGATGGCCTCTGCACTATCTAAACCAGGAAATAAACATCTGGGTGGTCTCTGAGACCCTTCAGGCTACCCTGAATGTGGCCTGTGAGTCCTTCCAGATGTGTGTGCAGTCTTCTGGGGGTAACCATCTTAGAAGATCTGATGGCCTCTGGGTTAATGTTCCAGCAGGCTGTGCTGATGCCAACCAAAGCCTGTGTGAGAGTCTCCAGGCATAAGACACCTGCAAGCAGGGTGGCTCCACCCGGGTCCTCTGAACCCAGGCCAACCAGCATGCACTGTGATTTAAGATTGCCACCGACAAACACCTTTAGCTAATAGAACACTGCCAACTGAAGGGCAAGGACACATGATACCATGAGTATCACCTCCAAGGCATGTGGCACTGTGGGACTCTGATAGGTCTTTACCATTCACAACCTCCTGGAGCTTGCGGCTACTCAGAAAGCACATGGTGGTGATTAACACACTCGTCTGCATGTTGGACACTGGGAGCTAGGTACCAAGGCAGTGGGCTTCACACACTGCACTGTGTCCAGCCCAGTCTTCAGGGGGAGTGGGGAACAGCTTGGGTCCGAAGAGTCAAAGGAGACACTGATGTTTGTGAAGGGCAAATCATCACTCTGTATTCAGGTCAGAGGTGGGCTGATTGGCAACCAAGGGTCCTTGCAGAGGTTAGGCTATGCCCTGCTTTCTTCCCACATGACACACGGTCAATGTGGTGCCATCAGAGAAAGGATCCTCCTAGCAGCTCCCATGCTCCCCACTTCCCACTCACTGGGGTCTCACAAACTGCTCGTCTGAACTCCAGTCTTGGTTGGGGAGTGAACTCAATCTAAACCTATCCCTCAGGCTAGGACTAACGTCAGACTCTCTGCCAGAGCACAATGACAGATTTCATAAGTGAGGTGCTCCTAGGTTTTTGGGGGCAAAGCTGTAAGCATATGGCTTGAGATGAACAGCCCCAACACCCAGGCCACAGCAAGCAAGGCTGGGGAGTAAGACATGACATTGGAACCCAGAGTCAGAAAAGCAACAGTGGAGGGCAGCAGAGGGGCTTCTGGGAGCATGATGGGTGCTTAATGCAGGAGGATATGAGTGTATTCCTGCAGGGCACCACAACTTCCTTCCGGGGCAGATGCGGGCAAAAAGTCCACATAACCAGGTGGCTGAGCTGGTTGGGAACAAGAGTCTGGCTCTTGGGCTGGGACATAGCTCAGTTATAGAATGATTACCTGATATGGAACTTCCCTCTGTATGCTATGAATATGTTTTTATTACCATTGGTTATTAAAGAAGCTGCTTTGGTCAATGGCTTAGTAAAGCCAGGCAGGAAATCCAAAACAGAGACATAGAGAGAAAGTAGACAGAGTCAGGGAGACGTCATGCAGCTGCCAAAGAAGAAAGATGCCAGTTGCTAGCCAGAACCTTACTGGTAAGCCACAGCCTTGTGGTGATTCACAGATTAATAGAAATGGATTAATTCAAGATGTCAGAGCTAGCAAAAAATATGCCTGAGACATTGGCCAAACAATGTTGTAATTAATATAGTTCCTATGTCCTTATTCAAGTTTGGGCAGCCGGGAAACGAAGAAGCAGTTTCGGCCTACAATTACCTAGCTACAGGATGCCCTGGTTTTGGTCCCTAACACTCTATCAGCCAGCTGTGATGATACACATCTGTCATCGTCTGTAATCACAGAGACAGAGGCAGAAGGATCAGGAGTTCAAGATCTCAGCCCAGGGCTCCATCAGCATGGGGAGTTTAAGCTGAGCTCTGAAGGGCTTCAGAGGAGTAGGCTTAAGATGAGAGCCCGAAAGCAGAGGACAGCAAGGGCTGGGCTAAGAGAAGGACAGGCCAGCTCAGAGGCTTCAGCTAGCAGAAGGGATGTGTCAGTTGTGGCCCTCCCTTGCTAGGGACACTGAGTCTCAAGGACCAGGAGAAGGTTAGAAAGGATACACATGTCCTCACGTGTGTCACCTAGACCACAGAGCGACAAACCCTCCAGATCCTGCCAGCAGCCGGGCCAGCCCACTCCATCAAATATTTTGCACATGACCTTCTCTCTCCACCTGCTGCCTGCCCACTTCCCAGAGGCCTCTATGGGTCACACGAGCTTCCCCCCTGCAGCTCCCGGGGACCCAAACAAGCCAACGAGGTGCCGACACTAAGCAGGACCCATAGAGATGCCATCCGTTCAGGCTGTCAAGGCTGAGTAAGTGCATTGGGTCAGTGGTGCCAGCATTCCTGGGGGGTGTTTGGCAGCTGTAAGGCCCCAACTCTGCAGAGCCTGGACAGAAAGGGCAGAACCCCATCCTGTTGTCATGCAATGCTTTCCCAATGCAACTCCACACCGAAAACTGAGCTGCTGTTAAGGCCAAGACAAAGGATCAGAAACTCTGGGTTTCAGTCCTGACTGCACTATTATAGAGCTCTGGAAACCCTGCTGTCAGTACCCACCTCAACTGATCTTCCTCTGTACATGGAGGGTGGATAGGCAAGCCTAGATCGGGGGTACATGGCTCAGGGAGAATAGCTTTTAGACCCCAATAGCCCAACTCAAATGGGGTCAAAATGACCATAAGATTTTCATGGGACAATATCCTATCTGGCTCAGACTCCTGGATACCAGTACCACAGAGGCTTCACTTTCTCTGCAGGGGGGCAGTTTCTTTCCTTTCATTTTTTGAAATCTAATGATCTCATCCAGGTTAGTCTCAAACCAACCCTCTGTGTAGCTCAAGATGGCCTCAGCCTATAGATCCACTTGCCTTGAACTCTTTCTATTTTATTTTATTTTATTTTATTTTATTTTATTTTATTTTATTTTATTTTATTGAGACTGGGTTTCTCTGTATAGCCCTGGCTGTCCTGGAACTCTATTTTGTAGACCTGGCTGGCTTCGAACTCAGAGATTCACCTGTCTCTGCCTCCTGGGATTAAAGGTGTATGCCACCACGCCTGGCTTGCCTTGGGTCTCTTGAGTGCTGGGATTTCAGACATGCACCACTATGTCTGCCCTGGGGAATGGGTTTCTACTTCTGAACCACCAACCCAGAACCCCAGGTGCAGAGAGGAGAGGCTGGCCAGATGAATGGCTTGAACCACAAGCTGTCTAAGATTTGGGGCTAGAAAGAGGAGAGCCAGCTGGGCCACTCTCACAGCCCAGCCCACGCATGGGCAGGTCCTCTGTAGAAGCTACAGGCTACACAGGGTAGTCTCAAGTCTTAGTTAAGAGCCCAGAAGAGGAGTCACCCTGAGCTTTTACTGGCTCCCTTGATTTCTTCAAGAAATAAAAGGGCTAAAACTTATGTGAAAGCCAGGCACCCCCCATTTCCAGTTCCATCTTCCACCCTCCAGGTGAGCAGCTATATCTCTTGGAAGCCTGCATGCCTCTGAGCAACACAAGACTGACGTCTATGTCCACAGAGATATAGGAATGTCACGTTAGTACACCACAGGGCGGGTCTCGGCCACCTCCCTCTGGCCCCGGGCTTGGAGGGGAGGACGGAGGGAACTCACCTTCACACTGCCTCCCTTCCCCCTTGTAGCCAGGCTTGCAGAGACATTTGTAAGACTTGGGTGTGTTCTGGCAGATGGCATCTATGTGACAGTCATCTGTGCCCTCCGAGCACTCATCCACGTCCACGGCTCCTGTGGGGAAGGGGGAACTGCAGGTGAAGTGTGCTAGGAAGACATCTGAGACCATGCTGGAAGTTCATATCCCCCACCCTTCCGTTGACCACTGGGGTAACTGACATTGACAGTCACATGCTAATTTGGTGTGACAAGGGGCAATTGGTAGTATTCTCTGTGCCAGGCACAGGACATCACACATCTGGTCTTTATTTTCTTAACAGCCCATTTGGGTATGGCCATTATCCTCACTCGAGATGTGGAGAAGCTGAAGGCTAGGGACACCAGAGAGAAAAACCTCTCTGTGGATCTTGGTTTCCCCCACAGGCATCATCCCAACCCTCCACACTCTTCATTCCAAAAGAGGCCCCGGAAGGACTTAAATCTGGTCCCTCTGGGTTGCAGATGAGGAAACCAAGGCAGAACGGTGTGCAAACATTGAGCAGAGGCCATCCATGGAGGGTGCGGGTAACCTGGATGTGAGACTGAGCCCCAAGGCAGTGGGAAGGATTATCTCCTAGGACCCAAACCAGAGCAGAATCCATAGACCTGCCTTTTACCCTGATAACTCAGGCCCCTGCCTCAGAAAGCCAATTCTCATACCGCAGCTTCTAGACCCCAGCACCATCCAAGTTCAGAGGGCTCCGGTGCATCTGCTGTTCCCAGCACATAGATACAGAAAGCTGCAGTCATGGCTGCACGATGAAAAAGACCTTCTGCACACACACCTGATCTCTCTCTCTCTCTCTCTCTCTCTCTCTCTCTCTCTCTCTCTCTCTCCCCTCGCTTGCTCACTCTCTTGCTCTAAGTTGACTCAGGGAACAGCCAGAACTTTAGGTTTAGACCAGAGATCTGAGGCCAGTGATACACGCTCCTGGACTCGACCCCATGATCTGAGGCCAGTGATACATGCTCCTGGACTCAACCCTCTCACAGAACAAGATTGTCTGGGTGTCGCTATCCTTCCAGTTGGCTGTGACCACCAGACAGATGGACAGGCAGAAGGACTCAGGTGAGCAGACAAGGGACTTTCAGCAGCTGCCCTGAGGACATCCCCCCTGGGAGGCTCCAAATGTCCCCATCTCTTCATCCATCTGGCCTCACTCTAGACTTCATGGTGCCCAAGAATGTCCACTTTGAATTAATCCCCTGGCTGGACACTGGACTGTGGCCCTACCCTCACCCAGACTCTTCTTCCTCACTCAGACTCCAAGGTTCCAGCTCACCATAGGGGAGAGAGACATTGAAAAGAAACACAGCAGACTCTTCCCTGAACACACTTGCATATGAAAAACACAGGCAAGCACATGTACACATATGCAGTATCCTTGACCCAAGGCCAGCCACTATGCTCAAGTGTGCGGGCCACCTCTACAGATGCCCAAAGGCAGTAGGCAAGAGCCGAGAGGCAGGCAGCATAGTAAACCAGAGAGTGCTGGCCAGAGCTGGTGTTGAGTTTGTGGGGGAGGGGCTTTCTGGGGAGCTGGCCCCAGAGGGACCACTGCTTCAAGGGCAGGACACCAGAGAGGGCCAGATCACATGGGGCACCTCTAAGAGACACCCTCCTGCTTCCCATGGGTCAGGGTATGAGAGTGAGGGGCAGGAAGTTCCCTAGGGGTTTGAGATCCCTTCTATCTCCTACCTAGGTAGGTGAGGTGGAAATGTAGAAGTTTGGAAGGGGTGGGTGGGGCTGTCTGCCTTTCAATTATAAACTCAACCTGGGAGCAGGGGAGCCCGGCTGAGCCCGGCTGTAGATCCCTGCACAGCCTTCAAACACAGGCTGCTCACTTCAATCTTGGTTTTCTTACTCTGAGGTTAGCTCTGGGCAGGTCAGGCTTCCACAGAGGGAAGAGGGGAGCAGAGGCAATAGATACCAGGAGGGGCAGAGAGGAAGGGAGAGGCACACAGGACAGTCCCACAGAGGAAAAGGACCCCAAAGCCTGGGGGCGGGGAAGGAATGCCCACAGACATGTCTAGTACCCCCAAGAAGGCCGGGATTCTCGAATGGGGGCATGGAAGAAAACTCAGCGCCAATGGTGAAGTGGCATGGACTAGCATGAACTCTCTCCAGCACTGAATCTGCTGTGGGATTCTCACAAACAGACCCACCCCTCTGAAAACAGACCTCGGGAGATTCTGCTGGAGGGAGAGCAAGGCAGGACCCTCCCACCCTCTCCCAGGAAAACAAGAAGTGCACTGGAGATGTGAGGAGAGAGCCTGGGTGTGCAGTTTTGCTCCGGAGCCCCTTCTAGGAAACTCAGATCAGGAAGGGACACCCCCACCTAGCAGCTCCTTCTGCCCTGACCTGCTGGTTTCCTCCCATGCCTCCTGCCCCCTCTCTCTGATGTTCTCGACACGCAGTCCTGGTTTGCTCGCGATTCGTGTTCCCCATCCACCTCCTTCCCCATGTCTGTCCGTCTCTTCTCCCACTCCGGTCTGACAGTCAATCTGTCCATCTCTTCCCAGACATCTCCATCCTTCCTCTCTCCCTTGGTCCCCTCCCTCGGCGCCGCCCCTCTGAGTCCTCCCGTTTCTGGTGTCCATCTGTCTCCTCCTCTCCGTCCTTTGATCTGCCTTTCTCCTTCCCGCTGTCCACTGCCTCCTCGCTCCCCTCCCTTACCTCCTCTCCCCTCTTCCCTCCCGCGGCTGTCTTTCTCAGGGCTTCTTCCGGGGCCCTTTTGTCTGTTCCCTCTGCGCCTCGGCTCCTGTCCGTCTGTCCCTTCATCTCCCCACCTCCCCTCCAGTCTCAGAGCGTCCTTTCTGGCCTCCTCCGGGTATCTCCTATGCGACAGCTGCCAAGTCTTCGGCCCTGGGGGAGCACCACTCTCGGCTCCGGGGGTCCCCGCCGGTCTTCGTACGCATACCGGGCCCCGCAGGCGGCCGTCGCTCTTCCTTTCTTTCTCCGGCCTCCCGCTTCCCCTCCCGGGGCCCCAACCCACCCCGCCCCCGCGGGCCACGGGCGCTCCCAGAAGTTACTTTGCAAGGAGGCAGGACCGGGTGCGGGGCAGCCTCCGACGGCGCGGGGTGGCGGCCCTTAGGTCCCCGCGCGCCGCAGTCCCCTTGGTCCTCGCGCTTACCTGGGAGCCCGCTGCCCCCCACCAGCCGTCCGCGTGCTCCCAGAGCGAGTAGCACGCACAAGTGCCAGCGCACAGCCGCCGCGCCCATGCTCAGAGCGGGCTGCGCCGGGTGCGGGCGTGCGGGGCACCGTACGCACCGAGCGGCCGCTCAGTGAGCGCTCCTGTCTGCAGCAAGCTCCGCTATCGCTCGGGCTCCGGAGCCACCCAGCCGGCGCGCAGGACTAGCTGACAGCCACGCGCTCATTGGCCCGCGGCAGCGGGGGGCGGGGCTCCGCGGGAGGCCGTCCAGTGGGCGTCGGGTGGCGTGGCTTGCCGGAGTCTGGGCCCACCCCCTCTCCCGGGGCGGGCGGCAGGTGGGGGGTGGGAGCCCTGCGAGCTGGGGTCGCGGTGCAGGACGCCACCCGGGCCGAGACGGGTACCCAAGTCGCCCTTGGTCGTCCCCGCTCTGTGTCCTGGGTCCCCAAGGAACAGGTTGACTGTTCCTCGGGCGCAGCACCCTTCAGCCCCGCACACACACAATCGGGGAAGTAGAGGTGGAGAAAGGCCCAGAGGCACCCAGGACTGGTAAAGGCGAAGCTCGGTGGACGCAGCCTATCCACAGACATTTATTGAGCCTCTAATGGGTGCCAAGTGCTGCCTGGGCAGTCACATACTAACAGGCATGGAAAACTCTTAAAGATAGTTTCAGAATTTACGTACAAAATCAAAAGAACTTTTTAGTACGTCTTCGAGGACAATGGTTATAGAAGTGCTTGCCTTGGACATCTAGGCATCGCGCCTGGAGCTGTGCTTCCGTGGAGAGGACGCGCGACCCGGCTGGGCTGAGTAGCCTCTCTGCCCCTAGATGCTTGTCGCTCTGCCAAGCCCAGGTTTTCTGGTGATAGGCTCGGCGGGGCAGAGCGGGAGGGAGACGGGTCGTGGCATCGCGGTCACCCTGGCCCTGAGCCTCCCCCAGCCCGGGGTCTACACCTGACCCCTCGGCCTTGAGGCCTGACGTGCACTCAATGGCCGCTCTCAGCTCTGGAGGCAGGACGCTGAAGAAGTTCAGCAAACCCCAAGGCCCATCTCCTTGACAACCACCAATAAGAGCTCCTGTTTTCTCCTGCTCTCCGGACTCAAAGACCAGACTTTTCTCTTTTTGTCCACTCTGTCTGCGCTGTGTTGCACCCAGCGGTTCCCCTTCACGCCGCCTCCCTGCCCCCAACGCACAGTCTGCAGCCACCTCAAAGGCCCCAGAAGGCTAAATCCATGTCTCCCATCTCCTGCTGCCAGCCAGATTTCCCGTGGGCTTGTGGCACTGGGCCGGAGGCTGAGGCAAGGGAATCCATGCCCACATTGTGCAGAGAAGATCAGGGAGGAAGTGGGGCCCTGACCTCTATTGTGTCCCTGTCTTCTACCCTGCCACTGCACGCATTTTCTTGCCCTGGTTGTGCCTGGTCATGTAGTTTAGTTCAGGGACCATGCCTATTCTCTTGACTATTCGGCTTTCTGATTTTTTTTTTCCACCTGTGCATGAGACATAAGACAGTCTATTTGTGAGAAGTGTTTTCAGTGGGGGCTCTGACTTCTTAGCACCATATTTTCCCATGGTTCTTCCTCAGGGGTGCTCCCATCCCTGCTCAAGTGCCCCTAAACACAATAGCAGCCATGAGACTTTTCCTGTTCTCTCTCTCTTTCAATTTTATGGTGGGATGGAGGTTGGGGGGGGGGTGGTGGTTTGGAACTCCCTACAGTCCCTAGGGATTATTTTATTAATATGAAAATTTTATCTGCAATGTGCCCCCTCAGTAACCTTGGAGGTCAAGTTTGTTGATGACCTAACGTCCCTCAAATGTGAAAAAAAAAAAGAAAGTGGCTCCCTCTAAGAGTCCATGGCACGTGTGGCAGAGCCAGAGGACAGTGGGGGAGGGGCGTGCCCAACTCCCTGATGCTCACTTCCTGAAGTAGAAGCAAGACATGATGGAGGCTGGTGTCACTGTACTGATGACCTGGGTGATGGGTGAGCTGGGTGGATGGGGCCAGCACGCTCACATCAGGACTCTGGCAGAGGATGTCTCGGCACCCCTCCATATTGAGCTGAGAACACGAAGGCCGCTGGTTTGGAGAGCAAACTGGGCTACTTCATGCCCAAGCCATCTGTGTATGCTCTGCGTGTCAATCGGTGCCCCTGTCCTCTCCACGGAAGTCCTATCTAGACCAACCACAAGTAAGGTAGCCCGGGAGGCAGCTTGCCCTTTGCACCCTGAACCCAATATCACTCTGCCAGGACAGCCTTCATACCCTCCTACCCACAGCCCTGCTCCGTAAATTCCGTGCAAGACCTCCCACAGCCTCAGAAAATGAACATCCCCTGTTCTCACCCTCCAGTTTCCTCTCTGCCTCCAGCCAAAAAGGGATCCTGAAGGCCTTGTCTGTGAACACAGTTCTCAAAGGGAGCAGAAGCAATTAACATCAAGAGAATTTATGCACGCACACATGCATGCATGAATGAATGAATGAATGAGGGAATGAATGAATGAGCTAGTGTGCAAGTGAGTGAGCCAGCAAAGGAGTGAATAAATGAACAAATGGTCACGGAAACAAGACGGAACAGCTGTGATCTTCTGTTGCTCTGTTGAGGTGACTTTGGCCGTGCCAGGTCCTTAAGAACGAAGCCAGATGTCTCTCCCCTGAACAACCCCACTTTCTGCGCTCTGTGGGGAAGCTAGACTGGTCAGCAGAACCCCTAATCTTGAGTGCCCTGAGCAGACGACCTATGACTTGGGGCCCTTTGGCTCCCCCTGGTGACGGTTCACTAAGGTGCTTGCCAGTAAGAAGGCAAGAGGAATTATCTGGTTCCCCTCTGCCTTCTAGGTTTGCCTTCTGTGATCCAACCTCACCCCTCCATGACAGGAAAGTCCCGACCTGGGTTCAGATCATAACCTCAGGACTGACCAGTTCTATAATGGGTGTCCCCATCTCGGACGTCGCTTCAGCCTGGATTCCTCGGCCCGAATGGCCTCTTAGAGTCGGCGGGAGGATAACACCAGGCAGGCGTGACATGGGACCTCTCTGAACCTCAGTCTCCCTCTCAGTAGCGGAAGAGTGATGCTGGCGTCTTCTGGAGGGGATTAAATGGGACACTAAACCTGAAGCCCTCAGAATCATGGCAGGTAGAGGTCTTTGTGTTCTTGCTCGGGTCAAGGGAGCTGGTTAGAATAGTAGCAATAGCCACTGGAATATAAAGGCCTTTTTTTGGAGGGGGGGGACATTTTAAAACAGGATGGGTTCTCTGGGTTAGTTATGAAAGTGCTTTGGGATACAAAGTTCTCTGCAACTATAAAATGCCAGCACACAGATGTCATAGCTCTGTGTGGTGAGTTTGAGGGCTTTTGCTCTTTTTTCTTAAAAATAGAATAGAAGAAAGAATGGAAAGGAAGTACCAACTCCTCCCGTGGCTGAATGTGCCCCCTTGGTTCTTCCATGTTGGCCTTTCTGCCGTTCCCTGTACAATCCTGGGCCACACAGGTCCTTTCTTGTCCTGGGCTGGGTTTTCAGATGGGGTCTCAGTCTTGAGGAGCATGTGATCTATGTTCTGAAAAGACCTGGAATTGTGGCCCAGTGTCTTCTCCTTCCGTATTTGTCGGGCATCCCTGGGTATGTGGTATGGTACTAGGACACATTAGTGAATCCCACCATCTACTCCCACGACACAGAAATTGTTGCCATCCCCTCTACAGAGCACCTGAGAAAATGGATCTGAGGTTTCCTGTCCAGGATCACAGAACTAGCAAATGTCCAGAGGTGGGATTTGAACCTGGGTTTGTACAGCCTGCTCATAAAATGCTTTGCTCAAAGGACAGAGGAGAATGACAGCAGTGAATAGGTGGGCACTATTCACTGTAAGGCTTTGGAGGTTTTTGATTTTGTTCCAATATCGGGAAGAGCGATTTCCTTATGGTACCTAAATCACAGCAGTGTGTAACGTTCCTGCCCGACTTCAGTCTTACACAGTTTTACTATCTGCCGTTTTCTTCCCCCTGACTGTTGGAATATGGATCCATCCCTGTCACTCTCAGGAGGCAGAGGAGACAGGATGATACTGGAAAGGCTTCTCAGAGATGCCTGGATGCAGCAGGGGACCAGCGGCTCATTGTGTCACTTTATGGGGTTGGGGTCAGGGGTCACAGTGCCTGTATGGGTAGCTCATGAACCTGAGTTGTGGCTGCAGGTTCACAGATGGATGGATGTGAGGACTAATGTCAAGACAGCCCGGCTTGGACTCAGCTGACACCTGGAAAAACTGAGACCCACTTGAGCCACTGTTCCTTGCACATGTCTACCCACTACCATCTCAGAACATCAGACTCCACTCAGGGGCCACCAGGACTTCCTCAAAGCCTTGCTCCACACATTCCCACTCACGCACGTGTATACCAGGCGAAGCTGTACCCACGGCCTCTCCCCTCCCTCCTCTGGCCACTGACTTTCTGGAGGTAACACCAGTTTTCAAGGTCAGGTGTAAGCATTCCTGACCCCCCGAGATGCTCTGGGCCTCCGTGTCCGTAATTCATGTTTCTCTGTGCCATGCTGCCTCTATTCTGAGCCATGATTCGCTCCCTTCCCTTCCCTCACTGGGCCGTTCCCTGTCCCCAGCCCTGTCCTCTGAGCCCAGGCCCTGCACTGGGTCCCTACAGCTCCCTGTATGACCTGTGCCTGGTGCTATGTGCTTGGAGAGACACAGCCTGAGGTTCGAAGCTCTATCTTCCCCTCATGTTGTCAGACACACTGTCACCTAAGGTCCCTTTCAGGCCTCTGCTACAAGCCTCTCAGGTCAACAGGAGACTGGCTGGGCCATTGGGCAAGCAATTCGCTAGTCAAAGGCACATGACCAACTCACAACTGTCAGACTCTCTGTAAGTGGATCCATGGGTCTTTCCTGAGTGGACAGGAGCTGCCCATCTCAGAGAGGAGTGTTCACCAGGCAGTGAGAAGCAGAGGACGATAAGAGAGAGAGAAGGTGAGGGGGGATTCAGGGAAGGAGGGAGGAAGGAGAGAGAGATAGAGAGAGGGAGAGGGGACATACCAGAGTCTTGGTCACATGAGTTCTTTTGCTCTTAAAGAAGTTACATTTGTTTCTGTCACTTATAGCCAAGGCCACCCTGCTCAGCCACTGCTCAGAGTGGGAGACCTGTCCACAAAGTGCCACCGCCAACCATC